ATCAAGGTGGCAGGTACGCGCCCCGGATTATCTGGTGATAGGTGCTTGTGGTATTAATGAATGTTTTGTTAATAAACAAAGTAGCAGGTGAGCATCACGGGTCATCTGGTAATGGGCGCTTGTGTTGTTAATTCTTTATTTTAGTAATTTATAAAGTGGCCAGTAAGCACCCTAAGACATATGGGGATAAGCGCTTGTATTATTAATATATGTTTAAATAACTAACAGAGTTGACAGAAAGTGCCTCAGATCATCTGGTGATGGGCACTTGTGCTGTGAACTTTTATATATTTAATTTATAGAGTAGCCATGTTATAGTAAGCACCCCAAGTCATCTGGTATAGGCACTTGCGTCATTAATCAATATATGCGCTTCTGTTATAAATAAATGTTCTATTGATAAGAATGTCTTGATTCTTGTTGCTAATTATTATAACATTACACATGCTGAATCACTGTAGAATATCAGTTTTATAGCGATATTGAGTTTTTTTTTTTATAAATTTAGGAATTCGGAATCATAATTAAAATATTATTAAGGAGTAGTGTGCACTTAAAAAAATTTGGCCAGTCTACAGGTCAGTAAACGTCCTGGGTCATTCGTTGATAGGTGCGTGTGTTACTAATTTTAAAATAATTATTTTTTAAACTAATAAAGAGGCTAGTAACGGCCTCTGGTCACCTGGCAATATGCGGTTGTGTTATTGAAAAATTGTTTAGTTAACTGACGACCTAGTCTGTAAGTGCTTTGGGTCATCTGGAGATAGGTGCTTATGTTGTTAATTTGTATGTAATTGATTTATAAAGTGGCCAGAAAATGCCTCAGATTGTCTGGTGATATTTGTGCTTGTGTTATTGATAAATTTTAAATTAATGAATAAAAAGTCTAGTTAATGCCCCGAATTCTCTGGTCTTAGGTGCTTTTATTATTAATTTTATATTATCTAATTTATAAAATGGCCACTAAGTGCCTCAGGTCATCTGTGGATAAGCGAGTACATTGTTAATTTTTATTTATTCAATTTATAAAGTGACCAGGGAGTTTCCAAAGTTACTTGGTGATAGGGGTTTGTGTTATTTACTAATATTTTGTTAATTTATTAAGTGGACAGTAATTTTCCTGAGTTGTGCAGTGATAACTACTTATTCTTCAATAAATAAGTTCGTTATTAAATAAGTTGTTTGGTTATTGTTGCTTTCATTATTAACGTTATGCAGGTAATTTGCTTTTTTTTAAGATTTTGCCACTCGGTGATTATTGTTAGTTAAATAACTTAGGATGTCAGTTTAGATGGCGATACTATGACGGTCAAGTCATCGATTTTCCGCCACAGTCGAGAGCACTGGTCTGTGCGCTCATACATAAAATCAATTATATAACGTGTTTACTTATAAAATGTATGTATCAATTTTTTTGTGTGCTCATTTATAAAATTGGTTCTATAATTTGTGTTGTTATAAAATATATATATAAAGTTTTGTTTGCGCGCTTACTTATAAAAATTGTTCTATAATATATGTTTTTAATAATATTGGTATCAAGTTTTGTTTGTGCCCTTACCTAAAGAGCTGATTCTATTATGTGTGTTTGTAAAAAAAAAAAACATGTACAAAAACGCGTGTCCTCTCACACTCGCTGGCGCTCGTGTTAAAAACAATTTTTTTTTTAACTCGAAGGAGAAAAACTTAATTGCAGTCCAATTACTGACTGCTCAGTCAGTAAGCACGCAAAATTTTGAATTATTATAAAGGTGATGGAAGTAAATAGTAGATGGGCTTTTAAACAAAAAACAATTTAAGTAGCACATTACGATACTAGTGCGCGAGGAAGACAATTAACGCACGAGCGCCAGCGAAGAAAATTAAAAATTTTGCATACTTACTGACTGAGCAGAGTCGGTAATTGGGCCGCAATTAGATTTTCCTCCACCGAATGGATAAAAAAATTGTTTTTACGGACCAGGCAATGTCTGTAATCGAATTCAAATGATATTCGAAACCTCGTGCCATTATTTACAAATTTTCGGTAAGGGATATCGGGCAATTTTTTCTGCGTGTCGCTGATTAAGTTATTGGTTCAAATCCCCTACCGTACCGGGTCACTTGACATCTGCCGAAAAACAGGATCTCTGGCCACCCCTTTGGTGTGAATAGTATGGCATACACAATTTATATAAGTATGCCTAGAAAAAAGTACTATTACTACTTTTCTAGAGCAAACGCCGAAAATATATGCATTTTGGAAGGGGGAAGAAAGAGAAAGATTTGATTTGATTTTAACAGAATTTGTTGATGCTAAAGGTTGCATGTTATCGTATTGCAGAGGCTTTTTAAATATGAATTCAAATTATATTATCAATCACAAAAGTATAAGAAAATCATATGTAACAATTCCGCAAAATAAGTCAATAACATTTGCAGTACTATATAATATCCATGTGAGCAATATAAGTTCAATAACACATTTATTAATTGATAATACATGACAATGTCTGAGCATAGGAACATACATATAGACAAGACACTATATTTTCCGAATTGTCAAACCCGTTAATAGTTAATATTAGTGGCATGCTACGTTATAAGACTCTAGTAAATATTTTAGCCTGATGCGTGTAAGGTTTGGGCCCCAAAGACGCATCGCACGCTGAGCAAGAAATACAGCATAACAATTTAAAAATGCACGTGGCATGTTAAAATCAGACTGAAGGAGACGCTCTAAAGAGAACAGCTCGCCAGTCGCTGGTGGGAAGAGATCATATAAGATAAATCCAGATAAATCGGGACACAAAAAATTTGTAAGGTGATTTGGGATAAGGTCAAAAACAGTGTTAAACGAATTATCTTATAAAACAAAAAATTTTTCTTTCTTCTACAAGATATTTTGTATGGAAAACGTAAAAAAAATGTATAAGTTAAAGTAAATAATTAACAAAAACAATATTTCTTTTGTGATGTTCAAATAATGTGTATTCTTCATCACCATAAAAGTTGAATTGCTTGAGCTTTATCGGAATAAAATTGGGTACATACTTTTTTCAAATAATTTAAAAAAAAAAAAAAACATTTCTCGTACTTTCTAATGTTGCTGAAGTAAGAGATGTCACAAATAAAGTTAAGCAAGATTGTTCATCTATCTTTAATACAGATAATTTAAATCTTTTAGACTTAGAAGAATGGGTGTATGAACGTGCAAATGAAAGGTTCGACAGTCATTCAGATTGTAACATAAAAACCCGTTTATTTAAACAATCTTAAGTCCGTACCATCCTAACTATTTGTATCGTCTTGATACAATCAAAGCAAAATCGAATTATTGGACAGATAGAACGAATACGAGAGTGTATGTTGACTGACTGAATGCATGGGAATAAATCAAACTGTACAATTTTAATGCTGCAGTGCAACGCTGCAGTGACTCAACTCCTTGCTATTGCACATGTACTAAAATTTAGCTACGAGTGCTAAATACATATCTCACAAAATCATAACCTCAAATTTTTTGCACGATTTTCGTCTATTCAATGGCAGATAATATTTGGATTTGTAACATAAAAACTATTTAAAAAGTTGAATTTTACATTCTTTGACAGCGTATCACTATAATTTGGATTCAGATCGTGATTATGCTTAATGCACGTATTTGCAACCACCATTATCAGTTTTTAGGCTTAATTTAGCTTCATTTCTTATTGTGATATCTATATGAAGTTACTGTATCTATTAATAGTCACTGTAATAGCAATGTAGAATCGATTATATGTAATTAAGATATAAATTGGGCGTTATTCTAGAATTTGCTTAAGCGATATCACAAATTACCTCAATACAAATTAAGTGTGTCATGTTATGACTAAATTAGACATATGTTTGAAAATTTGGTTCTTGACACTAAAAATAGAAAAATAAGTAATTTTTCGTTAATTGATAAAAAAACTATGCACCAACTGTTGAAATCAATTGTGCATACTATTGTGATATAATTTTCGAAAACTGAGGATAATAATTTCACACCTTCAAAAGTGTCCCGAACCACCTGAATTTACCTGAAGTACTCTGGCTCTCGCACGCTCAGGGTTTTGTAAATCGTTACCACTAAAAAGTAGTTTCGTCTAACACTTAGTTGCAGCTATCCTAGTCTCGTATAGAATTGGCCCATTGATGTATCTCGTCTGAGATAAAAAATAAATCAAATTAATCCAACGACTGTATTACATAGCCTATCCGATTTGATAGAAAGAGAGAGAGAGAGAAAGTAATAATTTCTACTGCACTACATTAATTTAGCAAGTACACATCCATAGTTCAAGTAGCACATTAGCAGTTAACTCTACATTTGATTTGCCTTTTACTCTGTATATGATTAGACTATTTAGACTTGCAGAACTAACAATGGGAACTTTCAGGACTCAAAGAAAGACTAAAAATTGAAAAAAAAAATTTAACATAATTCATGGATTTATTTTTCAATAGCCTTGTTTCAAGGCCGCTCTTGTCTTGATTCTTGTTGCTAATTATTATAACATTACACATGCTGAATCACTGTAGAATATCAGTTTTATAGCGATATTGAGTTTTTTTTTTTATAAATTTAGGAATTCGGAATCATAATTAAAATATTATTAAGGAGTAGTGTGCACTTAAAAAAATTTGGCCAGTCTACAGTGCAAATAACAACTTTTAATGTATTCAGCACAAGCTAAGCTGGCAGAAGCAAGAGTTAAGTCAATCTGGCGCTTTGCGTGAGCTGCTTATATGGGGCGAGATAGCTTCTTGAGGTAAGAGCAAGGAGCAAGCATGTGCCCTGATTAGGTACAACTCTTACTTTGACGGGCTTAGCTACAGTGCTAAAGTTTAAGCCGTTGGCTGTACTATCATCTAATGTAGCTACTGCTTGTACGAAGTCGCTAGCAGTGCCAAATTTTTCCAGCGCACAAGCTGTCTGCTACTTAAACTAAAATGTGCTGGTGCTGCACTACTTGATTTTGTATAATTTACAGAATGGTAAGCAAACCTCAACTGTCCTGGTGGCCAAAGATTAACTCTGTTTATTTGAGGAGCTATCAGCTGCGTAATTTATTTTCTAATATAGTAAGGAAACTTGGCTACACTCTCTTTCCAATGAAAGTTGGTTCAGGTACAAAGAGCAAAGGAAAAGATCGCAGTGAGGAGATGTCGATCTATAACAACATAATGGTACACTTGGTACGACTGATTCGGGAAGAGCCAATGCTTGTGTTATACGTAAGTGTGTTTTTGATTTTCTTAATGCTAAAAAATTTCCCATCTAATACTGCTTGTTGTGATACATTAAATAACATTTTTGCAAGCGCTTAAACGTAATAAATTTTTCACTACAGTTAATTTAATTAATATTTCGATTTTTTTTCATGAAATAATGGTGAACAGAACGACGGTAACGAAAAATGCAAGTCAACAATGAGTTTGTTTAAGAGTTTGACTGCAGTCGCTTTGACCTCACCTGCTATTGATGTATCGCGTGAAGCTCAACAGGCCCTTCTCGTGCTTCACAAACTCGATAAAATACGGGAATGGTATCCGGAGGATTCGATTAACATGTTTTGGGACGTGAGCTACGAAATTCTCATGGCAGTATCAAGAAACTTAGCTGTTCGCAGGACTGGTCGAGACAGAGACTTACTTAAATGGCTTCGCAACCTGTTTAGCTGTCGTAATGTCTTTATGGCAAAACATACGAATTACTGCAGTGTACGTCTCCAAAAAGAGCCGAAAAGGTTAATCGAAATGACTACCAAAATCGAGGTTTGTATGACACTATGTTTATTGTACTTTAGGAGTTAAAGAATAAAAAAATTTCATAACATATATAAAATTTCAGGAAGCATTGTTTATACAGTTGTGGAACATTGATATGGAGTCTGTGCTAATGGCGATATCATGTTTCCTGATGCTCTGCGAGGAGGCTGAAATATGCTGTAGTAGCGACGAAGTCACTACAATACTGCCCAATTATTACTTTTACTTGGAACTGTCAAAAACTTTAACATTATTTACCACTGGTAAGATATTACTTTAGAAATTAACATTTTTTCGTGCAATAAAATGTGAATGTTTCATTGTCTTACGGCCAAGAAAGAAAACGAATCGTCTTCGTACGAAAATTCCATAGGTAATTTGTTCCAAATAAGAAATTCGTTTTTACATTTTGTATACATTATTTTGTACGTATTAATTGACAATTAAAAAAAAATCTAATTAGACATTTTTTGCTAAATACGGACTAAATGAACATCCCTCATTTATTTTTTTTACTACTAAGAGATCGTACTTTCTGAATACTTAAAGCGTCAACCCCTAGACTAATCAAACATTAATTTTCTTATGTTTTTCAAGTGTGACTAGAATAATCAGATTTCCACGAAATGATTTTCCTTTGTATTTCACTTGAAAATTCAAATTTTGTTTTTATTATTGCGCTAACCCCACTTTGGTAATTTTCCATTGTTCACTTTTCTTTATGTTGGACTAGCTGAGCATAATCTGAGTGCTTTTATCCATTTGCTGTGTGTAAGTTGGTGGAGCGGAAGGCTGCCGCCATGCCACTTGTTACTATTGTGTGTAGTCTTATGGACTCGTCCGCCGGCAAATCCGCCAATGGTGGCCGTGTCAACTAATTTTCTCCCATTTAACTTAACGTGAAAAATCCGGCAAAATGGTGCAGCACTGTACTTGCACACAGTAAATACAGCGTTATCTGCATTTTTCCACAGACTGCATTATGCAGTAATTTAGGTGGGGCTGTAGTTTCGTCAGCACGAATTATAATGTAATTTTTTTTATCAAAAATTTAACACTGTAAGGTACAATTTGAGGATTGGTTAATTTAAAATAATGCAGTAATAATTAAGTAGTTTATGGTTTTTAACTGTGAGAAAAAAAACATTTTTTCTGAGATATCGAGGATTTTTAGTTAATAAATAAGGGGCTTCCTCATACTTATTACTTTTTAGTTTTTGTTTGAAATGTGTCAAATAATGTGATAGAATTTTTTTCAATCAAAAATTTATTTTTCATTTTTTTAAATAAAAATTTTAAATAATCGATTCGTAACAAATTACAAATAACACTAGTGTGAATTGATGTTAAGATGTTAAAATATATCAAATGAAAAAAGGTGTATGCATGAGCATGAACATCAATCAGCAAAATGATACTAAATTTTAGCTCATGCGGATCATCAGTTATGGTGCGGCAAATTACCTTAATTTAAAAAGGAATATATTATATTAATATATTTATGTCCTTGTGCTTCTTTGCGTCATCTAAGTATCATGTGTAATGTGACTGTGTAAGATTTTTTGTGTTATTAGTGAGTGTCCTAATCGTACAAGTGAAAAGGGGGTCTCAAAGTTGGACTTGATTCTTCTTTATATTAACTGTTTAACTGTGTTTAATTTCGTGTAAACAAAATCTGTTTTTTTTTTGCTCTCTTTTTTAAAATAACGATATATCACAAACAAAATAAAATAAAGTTAGCTGTTACATCTTAACTATATCTACAAAAACAAACTTTCTATAAATTGCTAAGTTACGTTATGCACTCTCAACCGATGCTTAAACTCGTATTAGCTGGCAAAGTCTCCCTCTGTATCTGCCGTAAAACTATTGATTATAGTTTTACTGCATCTGATAGTATGTCATTGTTTTCTACAAAATAAGAGTAAACTTACAAAAAAAAAGTCTTATCACTACTGTCATAATCTCTGACATAAAGCACATAAATCATTTCATATCCAATTTCACCTTAATACTGCCTTTTTCTATTCTATACATTTCCATTTTTGCATATACATGTCTCTACTTACAGTAAATAGTTTTTTGTGTCAGGCTTTCCACACAGTCCCACCAATCGTACCCCACCGCTTTCCCACAAAATAAGAAAAAATTCAGTTATTTTCTCCGTTATTTCGATCTATAACATTTGTTGTCTAGATCCCATCACAGCGCTTTTAAGAAAGCTAACAGCAAGGAAAATTATTTTTTGTATGAAATAAATGGTAATAAAGATGAATTACCGGTAATAAAATCAATTTTTGAAATAAATACTCTGTTACTAATTTTTTACTAGTTATAATGTCAGTCTCAATATTGTATTTGTATAACTTCATTATTCTTAGCCTTGTTCCATTACATGATCCTTCTGAAATACATAAATTTTGAGTTACCGTTACGATGGCATTTATTTTTAAATTGAGTTCGTAAGGTGGATGACTCTCCCGAATAGAGTCAAGATATTCCGTTCATAAATAAATGTATATATTTTCATCAAATGTATTGCTTTCCTTGTAGCTTGCATAATCTATACTACAATAATCATAATAATAATATTTTTGTTTTTGAAATCTTTTAAGAACCGCAGTAGAGAGAGTGAGGGCCGAGAAAAGAGAGCGGTTGGCAATGTGGCTATGCATTGTCATTGTTAACGTTGTATGTTTCTCTTTTTCTATATCTACGCTCATGCACATATATGTACCTGGAAGGTGATTTACTGAAATATGACGCAACACAATGCATTATACCATTCACAAACCATGTGCTTATTTTTGACTGTGAGTGTGGCACTTTCTTTACAGATGTCTATTTTCCATCTTATGTTGTTGCATACGCTATACAGTACACATATATATATTCCTCGCTATCCTACTACGGTTACGCTTCCTTGTTGCCACATGCTTAATTTTCTTTTCTTACTTTGTCGTTATTATTTTTTTCAATTCATTGCTTTTTTCCTAATTTGCTTTCTTTTTCTTTTATATTTTTTCATTCTTTTCGGTAATTGAATAATTACATTTTATCAATATATTTAATTGTTATTATATTTCAACAGAGGCGACTCCAGAAAGATTCTCAATTTTGTGCCAGAAGCTCAATTGTCTTATATTAGTCTAGTCCGATCTTCTGTTCGTAAAATTCTCCCGCTCCCTTCCCTCCGTTCTTGTGTGTCATGCATGGAAAGGGAGTTATGATGGAGCCTTATTGATTTCGATAATCCGATGGTGCTTATGCCCATTCACTGCAATTGTTGTTTTCCACTTTCTTCTCTCCCTTATCACTAGCTTCTATTGCGGCTTTTCGTTGATTCGTACGCTTTTTTTTCCGTGCTGTAGCCACTATGTTTGTCTGGGTGGGTGAGTACTTAACCACCTTTCCCATTTTTTTGTTTTTATTGGTTTCTTTGTTCTTGTTTTTGTTTGTTTTTTTTTATTTTATTTTATTTTTTTATTATTTTTTTTGCTGCATTACCCTGGTAGTTTGTCGCTACTGTAATATCTCCGGGTCTTTGGTGTGTTCCACGCCCTGAGGTGCTGGGCGAGCTCATTTAACAGAAATTGTTGGTGTTGTTTTCAGAAGCATTACTGGTTATTTCTCTAACGCCACCCTAGTGTTCGGGTAATCCGATACTTTGATTTTTTTTGTAAATTTTAATGCGTTGCTTATTTTGTATTCTCACGGATACTAGTGTCATCTAAGGGAGTTCATTGCACAGCCCGTGCATGGAGGGAAAAATCATGGAGCAAACGCATAGTGGCGATGGAAATGCCCCCTCTTTTTTGACCCTATGCGATCGGCTCATGACGTCTACGCTTTCAACGCATGTGAGTCTATAGCTCTTAAGCATAAGTGTTAGCCATGGAGCAAACGCAAGAAGGCCGCTGGTTTTTCCCCTTGAGGATGGGTGCGTGGGTAGAAATTAAAAAGATAGGCTTATGTTAAAATTTTGCTTACTGTTTTTCTTTATTGGTTGCAAATACTTGCGGCAACCTGAATCAACCGATAATTTTGACGGCGGAAACTAGGATGAATTGAAAGAGTACCGCCAATTGAGAGCAGCAGTATTTGGAACTTGACCAAGATGAGTCAAGCAGAGGACCTCGACCAAAGAAGAGTCGAGGATAGTAGGACTGATTGATTAGAACTAGTCAGTGTAGGAGGCTTCGGGCTTTTTATACGATTTCGCATGGGTTAATTCGGGGGTACCATTTTTGCGTACACGCATAGTTTGGGTATTGGGAAGAAGTCCTGAGTGCGAATTGGGAAAGCGATCATCGAAAGAGAAAGCTTGGTTCTTAGGTCACGGCCTTGTATAATTTGGGGCCGCCACTCAGGTTCGAGAACGTGATGGTTTGCAAGTTTAGAAAATCCTCTTCTCAGTCCAACACACTAGAGAGAGGGGAGACAATATTCCTCCTTCTCCCGTCTCTCCTCACACCTGGAATTTCTTATAACTCATGTTAATACTCAAGTAGCATTAATTATTAAAAGAGTGAGCGGTGAACACAATAATAGTTATCAGTAGCAGTGATAAAAAAAAATTAAAAATAATAATAGCAAATATAGTAGTAACAATTCCAACAGTGGCAATAGTAGAAATGATAACAACATTAAACGTAATAGTAATAGTAATCTAAGTATAAATGTTGCCAATAGTTATCATATTGTTTCTTAATATTTTTAGCAGTGGCAATATTCTTGAGAGAGGGAAGGAAAGGGGAAAAAGGGCTGTTTGGTTGTACACGGTAGTGGTGGCATGTTACAGTGCGGGAGTAAGGAGGATACCAATGGCCAACAATGTGTGTGGCTTCGTTTTATTTGAGTAACAATCACATTTGTTGTTTGTCACCTCTTGGAATTTTCCACAAATTGGCATGTTTTTAGCGTCTGAGTTTTCACGGAAAATTTTATTTAGAGCAATAAAGGAGCGCTGCATGCGAGTGTGTTTTATTTGAAACAGTTTTTTCTCGAAGGTGATTAGAAGCGTCAAATGCCTTTCCCTTTCGATACTGTTTGTGCGGATGGATAGGAGTACTAGAGAGCGAGGACAGTGCAGAGGAGTGGGTGTATCTGGTAATTAAAAATTTTTTAGGATTTAGCTGTGGACGTTACAATACATCTCCCATTTCCATATTCTGTTTACTCTTTATACTTTTGCAGGTATTCTGAATTTTTTAATATCATTCTCAGCTCGTCAGTCTAGAGGTTAAAATTAAATAAAAATATT